TAATAATAATATATATGTAATAAAAAATTATAAATTGACAAAAATACACACAAATGACAAAACTATTGAATTTTACACATTTGGATAAATTTTCAAAAATTTTCATTATTTTTATTTTTATATATTTTTTCGCCGGTCCGATTTGGTTTTAAACCGCAATTAAAATTCTCACACCTAAACCAAACCGTTTTTGACCGGTTTGGTTTGGTTCAAAACCATTTCGTTGACGGGTCTACGTGGCACCAAATCGACGGTTTCTAAAATGCGGTTTCGGTTCGATTTTCAGGTTTGACGATTTTTGCTTACAGCCCTGTTTTTTACTGAAAAATAAAGTCGAACATAAGAAAAGAATTTATTCTATAACTTCTTAAACTTTAGACGACGTGTCTTAACACTTCTTAAAAAAGGAGATTAGAGCAACGTCCACCTATAAAAGAAAAACAAAATTTTTAGTAGCATTTGTTTTTGTAACTCAAAATGCATATGCCTTGCTGATTTGATATAATTACTAGCCCCCAGGGCATATCTTCAAGTGGTAAAAGGGGAAGGTGGAAGAATTTCAACTTTGCTTGAGACCGCCGCATCAAGGGTTCGAATCTTGAAATATGGATTTGGCTCTTGGGTAAGTACAAGTGTACAAGCAGTCTTCCACCCTATACCCTTGGAGGCATAATCTGCGATTTACCTCCTTCACCAAAGCTCAGGACAGGGTAGGGCAGGTGGGGACAGCTAAAGATGCGGTTTATCCTTTTGATATAATTACTACATTAATTTCTCCAACAACATGGTACTAAACAATGCATAAATGTTGTAAATTAAACAAATCTTATAATTGATAATTAACAAGATGTACTATTGAAATCCAAACTGAAGTTGGAGCATACACAACTGCAATTCATAAATTATGCAGTGTTATCTTAACCTACCTTAACTGCAATGTTCACAAATTATACGGCTAAAAGGCAAAATCCAAATGCAGTTCAGTGGAATCCGTTCTTTTTCTTGTTGGCACAAAGCTGCACAAACTCTTGCACTACTTCATCAATCTCTTCATCCCCTTTGTTCTTGATCTTCTCCCTCATCTCTCTAGCCTTTTGCCGGACGGATTCTCCATCAGTGTCAACCACCACGTGCCGGATCACTGCAGCAACTACCTCCTTCTGTAGGACTCCTAGCCGGTTGCGCACCACCTCGACTCCGACGCCAATGTCTTCCACCAGCCTAGCATTGAGTGGCTGATCAAGTTGCATTGGCATGGCAACCATTGGAATCCCAAATTTCATACTTTCCATCACAGAACTGCATCCACAATGGCTAACAAAACCACCAACTCCTTCGTGACTCAATATTTTAGCCTGTGGTGCCCATCCCTCCACCAGTAGTCCCCTCTCCCCCACCCTTTCAAAAAACCCTAATGGCAAAACCTCTTCAAGTTTTATTTTTTCTCCCTTGGGAAACCTCACAACCCATATGAAATTCACATTGCTAAGTTCTAACCCATAAGCAAGTTCCAACATATCTTGTTTTGTAAGAAAATATTCAGTCCCAAAAGAAACATAAACAGTAGAATTCTTATCCTTTTTGTCTAGCCATTCCATGATGTCTGAACTGTCATATACATCATGTGTAGGATCTTGAACCAATGGACCAACAGGCACAACTTTCTTCCCTAGTAAACTCGACAAATAATCACCATATTTTCCCTCAATCTCCCTAAAACCCTTTACCAATACAATCCTAGATGACCTATCGATGCCTTGAAATGCGTGTTTTTTTACTTGCTCATTAGCAGCAGTCTCTAGCAATCTTTCGCGATGAACAATCTCATAATCACGATAAAACATCGTAGAAAAGGGAAATTCAACCCCCGGTCTCTTAAAAAAGTGGAACATGTAGGCAGTCATGCTCAAACTACTTGTCATGAACTCAACTGCGGGTATATTATGCATTGAAGCAGCCAATGGTGCCCATGGTTGAAGAAAATCATAGATGAGCAAATCAGGTTTTACAGTGCACAAAATATTGTCGAAACTGGGGGCAGCCATTTCTAATGCCTTTTTGAGGGTTGGCATTAGATGGGGTGGGAGGCCATTGGTGGTGTGGTAACAAGGGGGAAGATTAGGCAATGTTGGGAGATGAAGTTCAACTAATTGAATTGAAAGTGCAAATTTTTCACCAATTTTGTGCTTAATGGAACTCAAATTTGCTGGGGTGGAACATAAGTGAATAATGAAGTTTCTTTTTGCTAGTCTTTTGGCTAATTCTAGGTATGGGGATATGTGTCCATGAGCCAACCATGGGAACATAAGAACATTAAAAGTTTGGCTGTTACTAATGAAAGACTCCATCGATTCTCAAATCTCAAAAGCTTCTTATTCTCTCTGGATTTTTGAGGTTAGATAGTTGTAATAAAAGCAAATGGTCGATGAGCTTATTTATAATAGAATGCAATGATGAGAAGGAAAGGTGATCCTTAACTATGCTAAAAATTAATGTCCCAAGGAAGAATCAGTGGCAAAAAGAAGAAAAGATTCTAGTATATTCCCGGAAAGGATGCAGCAAACGAAACTAGCCAAAAATAGATTGTAACTGTTAAAGAAATTAGCTTGTGTAAAGATTTTAGCCCATGTTTGATGCATATTTTGGGAGTAAGTATGCATTTTTACTATTGATGTGATGGGATTATGGGAAATATGTAGTTGAAAAATAAGGAAAAGTTATCAATGTGATGAAAAATATTATTTTATTGAAGAATGTGGGTTGACAAAGAATAGAAAAATGAGAATGGGAAAAATAATGTGGTTCAAATTAGTGATCAACTAGCAAATCCATCTCCAACCTTTGAAAATGATCAAGCGTGTGCTCGATTTTTGTCGTAATTGTAAATTAATCGGTCATTAATAACATAAAGCATCAAAATCTCCCTTAAATCTCACGTAACTACTATAAAAATACGTTTCACTTCGAATTTTTGGACATGAGCCTAAATTGGTATAATTTAACGTCGGTTGCTAGTAGAACAATAAGTTGAAGAAGAATGGCGCAATTTTCGACTAATTGAGGAAATCTGGAAATGGAATTTTAGTTCTCAAATAGAGAGAATCGAAGATGCTGAGGATGTGGTAACTATAAAGATTTTATTTCATTTATTAGGCAGAAACTGATAATATAAAAATTGCAGAAGATTTTATTTCAGTCATTAGGCAGAAACTGCACATATAAAAAAATTGCAAAGCTAATTAAAGTTGGAAAGACAATCAAAGTGACGAAAGGAAGAGCAATATTTTGAAGCTCTATAATTTTACAAAGTGATTAAAATTTTGAAAGAAAAAGAAAGCACTTGCATAGTAAAAATAATGAGTTATCTACAATTTTTGAGAAATGATGGTTGTACACCATGTCATACAGCCCCCCTCACATGTGAAGGGGCCCACCATGAATAAAAAATTCGTGAGCTCCCTCTATGTGAGGGGGTTATAATAATGTGTTTATTTTGCAGATAAACTAAATACATTAGAAAATCGTATATCAGTAGATATTATTTATTATAATTATTATTAATTCAAATTTATTTAGTTTTTTCATTGTTAAAGTATGAGGATTAATTCTAAGTTTGATTTTGTTTTTTTTGGGGAACGTGTTATGATAAAGTTTATAGATCTAAATCGAATATATTGTTACAGGCGAAAAATGCTTCACACTAACACAATGAAAAGTAGGGAGAATTACGATCACGTTATCAAATATTTCACTTTATTTCAGACTTGACTCAAATATTTCATTTGTACCAACTATGATATCACTACATGACAAGTAGATGGAATTCATCCATTTAACCGTTAATTGATCAAAATAATTGATTTTGACTAAATATAAAAAAGGCAAAATAGTAATTTCATAATTTTTAACATAAACTAATTTAAAAAGTTCAATAATAAAGAGAGAAAAAATAAAGGACTATAACTGTTCACCTCCGTTACAAATCCCACGCCACCCCTGCAAATGGTCAAAACCACCACAACTGACACCGGCACCACCGTAGGTCGAAAACGGCACCACACGTACACAGAAATAATGGATTCAAGCAAAATCATCAAGTGGCTTTAACTAAAAAATTCTAGTCTACGGGTTCAAAATCATCAAGTTACAGTTAGTCTTCTCTTTATCTCTCTAAAAAATAAAGAAATTTATTAGTCTTCTCTTCATGCTAACAATTAATTTACATTTGGATTTTCTTGGTGTGCATAATTGCAGTCTACATTTTCATTTTTCCATGACAGAAGCACCACCTTATGGGGGTCACATTGCAGGCCATCACAGTTAGGGCTTCCTCCTCCCAGCATCGACAATCGTAGTGTTAAGATTTGGGGTTCTATCTTAAAAGGTCAATCTAATTAAGAGGAGTATCTCAATCTTTTATAAATTGATTTATATTTACATATTTATTCGATGTGAGATTCTATCCCTTAACATGCGCTCGCAAAATGGTGGCTCGTTTGAGCAGATCAATCTTAAAATCTGTATGTTCATTTTTTGGAGTCTTAACCGGATCGAATTGCTCATTAGAGCTTAATGGGCTCTAATACCATGTTAAGATTTAGAATTCCATCTTAAAAGGTCAACCTAATTAAGAGGAGTAACTCAATCATTTATAAGTTAATTTATATTTACATCTTTATTCGATATGGGATTATATCCCTTAACACGCAGAATGCGGTCTCCGCCTCACACGTCGACCGGGAAAAAAAAACAAGACACCCAAAACACACCACTAAGTTTGTAGAAACGATTTGAAGGATTTCTCTGTTTCTGCAAGAATTAAAGACGTTGCTTCCTATCTCCTGCTCTCAACGCAACCTGAGCTATCGCAATTGTAACTTTTCAGATTCTTCAACCTTTCGGCTTAATGACTCGAATTCAACTCTTGTTTTTGTGATCTGCGCATCAGGCAAGAATGATTCTTCAACCTTATGCCGACTATGGGTGGCGGTGGTGGTGGCTGATTTTTAGGGATAGGGTGCGGTCAGGGGAAAGAAGAAATAGCTATAGAGCCCTTTTAATTTTTTTTTCCTTTTATTATTTTTTTATTAAAATTGTAAATTTACTATTTTGCCATTTTTATATTTTGTCAAATTCTATTATTCTGATCAATTAACAGTCAACAGGATGGTTTCCATCCATTTGGACTTCGGGTGAAATTTTTTAAAAGATTTGGAATCATAGGTAGTACAAATGAAAGATTTGGATCAAATTTGAAACAAATGAAAGTTTTAATATCGTGGCTACAATTCTTCGTAAAAAGTATTAGAGAAATAGGAACTGTGTTCACAAAAATAACAGTGATTCCCAAATTTTCAGAGTTGAAAGTAGCTTGGACCTACAGGCTACAAATTTCTAAAGTCATTTGTGTTAAATACTTAAAAGACCTTAGGAGGAAAAAAAAAACATCAACTGAAATTTTGATGAATTTTAAACATCCTTCTAAATTCAATGTCCCCAAATATGATTTTAAAAGATTTTAATAAATTAAAATTAAAATCCATTAAAATTTACGTGTCCCCAATTGAGATTTTAATGAAATTTATTAAAATTGAAGTGTTCTTAATAACTTGTGGATTTATATGAATTTCATTAATATATGGATTTTAAAAGATTTGGATGGATTTCAAGTTTAAAAATATATTAACACACTCTTTTCAAATTTCGCCATTTTTAATGAGATTCTTATGAATTTTGTGGAAATATATTCAAATCCATTAGAATTTATAATCTTTTAAAATATATCAAAATTTTTAAATCCATTAATTTTTTTTTTTTTTAAATTCATCAAAATCTCAATCGAGTAGAAAAGAAAATTTTGAATTTCTTTTTTAACAAGTGAAATACTCCTAGTTGACTATTCAATTAAAAATTAAATTTTATTTTTTGTCAAATTCAAAAGATACGTAGTCTTTTCTAGGATCTTGCTTGATACACATATCTTGCTCATAACAAAAATCGTGAGTTGACCATCTTATAGATGGAACCATCGGAAATAACATTTTAAAATCAAGAAAAAAAGAACAAAATCTCAATAAACGCACAAGCATTTCATGGATTGGTACCAAATTACAGATTAATTAAGCGAGGTGTACACCCATTGTGTGCACCTTATTTGACGCTCGTCTATGTATCAAAAATATGGTCATTGTTTTAAAAAAGTTAAAATCAATGTATAAAATTCTACCAACTCACATGAGTGTCAAACTAAGTGTTAAACAAAATGTACATATAACATGATTCATTACAGATATAGAGGTAATAATGTTAATTTAGGTTTGCTACATTGACAGACAACTTTGACACATTCTCTGACAGAATGCCAGATGACATTCTGTCATTCGCCTGCTTGAAAAACACAACATTTTATGCACCAATTAAAACACGCGAACATTGCTTATGTCAAAAGAATGGGCACCACATTCTGGCAAAATAGCTTCATTCATATTAATTCACCAATAGTATTACTTCAATGTAAAAGTTCTTATTACTTCTATTGAATAAATAATATTTCATGATTTTAAACTTATCATTAAACATTTCTTCTTCTTTTTTTTTCCCATACAATTAATATAATAATATACTTGTTTAAGTGCAATAACAAGAACCAAAAACTCCCTTAAAATAATACTATTATTTTTATAGAATCTATTGCTATCATACTACCAAATGAAAGAGGAAAACAAATTTTCAAATTATATAAAAGCGTAGTACAATTCAGCAAAGTCGTCAAAATTTTCATCAGTAGAGGTCAAGGGAATGGCTTTCTGGCATCTTGTATCTGTATGAAGGACAAGACTAGCTGTTTCGCGCGGGTTTACCGAGTCTCGCTAACAATTAAAGGATGATTCAGACGATTGTGTAAGAAACAAATCTCTTGAGACAAAGTCACAACGAGATGTGTTTTATTTACGAAAATTACAATGAAAAAGAAACAGAACGCCTCCAAAGGGTACAAGTACACTAAGTAATTTGAAAGTTGACGATAAAAATTAAAAGAAGTAAAATTACATATTTTCTGTTTGAGAGTGATTGATTCGGGGTTATTTTCTTCTATGTCTTCTTTTCTTTTATACTCCTTCACCAGTTTCTTTGTAAAACTATTTGAGAACTGCTTGTCACTCTATAACTACCCACTTGCTTCATAATGGTCGACGTGTCAAGATTTGCCGTTTTTAAACTGCTGCCACTACTCTTCTTAACTGTTTGCAACCGAGATTCTTGGATCTTGGAATGTAATAAGACCGCTCAAAAACTGCTTCAATAACTCCCGCTTAAACAGGACGCTGTATTAGCCCAGATCTTGGGC